CTGTTTAATAATCATTTGAAACTGGCAAACTGTCAACTCCAGTAACTTAGTAAGATTAAAGGATTTATCTTGAACTCTGTCACGGAAGTGATGTATAAACCCTAGTTAAAAATTTTATAATCAATTTACATTGAATTTATACCTGTATCGTATTACGCTGTACTCTGTGGACGAGTGCTTTATAAAATGAATGGATGGATGATTCAGCTGCAGGCGCCATCTTCTGGTGAGATGCGGCAATTCATTCAGCACACAACTCTCACAGTGCATTATGGCCGTTGAGCGTGCACCAGTTGTACACTCGTTTTTTCTGTGCCTTGTGGGATTGAATGAGTGCCCTCGAGAACGTCCACTATGGTTTCGGACACCACTAAAAATGGCTGTCCCCTCAAATAGTGCCCTATTTAAGGGTATAGGGGGAGATTTCGGATATAGCCCCAGTGTCGACACATTTTTCGAGTTTTCGACACACTAGTGCTTCGAAACAGTGTAACTGAATGCATTGCTTGAAATGAGGTCACGTGACCTGTGGAAATGAAGCTTCGTGACCTCACTGACACCTCACGCCGGGTGTCAAATACAAGGCGCGTCAATTGCGCTGTCCCATACCTGCTATCCATTTAGTGCAATGTTATAATTATATCGGTCATTTTGCCTATACATATATGTAGTTTTTTTACATTGTGTATCATTGTTAATTAAAGTACTACTACTAAAAACAATGACGTGTAAATGTTCGGTTTCTGAATGAAAATTAAAAAACCTTTTGCGGGCCCAACCATTGTTCCCAAAAAATAATAAAAGTCCTTCCTCAACCACAAACATTTTTGCTGCTTTTAAACGCCGTCCTCAGTTGTCAACAGCTCACATTGGTTAGAAAAATATATTTGTATTTGTGCGTTTATTTTTTTTAACAATGTGCATGTTTGTGTTCTTTTGTAAGGAAGACACAAAAAATGGTGCAATGAAAAATTACGTAAGCCTAATTTATTGGTGTATTAAACATTCTGTTTAGAAGGTGAAAAGACACAAGTTTGATGCAAGTAAAAATGAAGAAAAAGTCTTCATTGTCATTGTGCAAAATACAAATTAATTTTGGAAACTCTATCGCTGCACACATATGCGCCGCCTTGCTAATGACATATACCGATCAGGCATAACATTATGACCACTGACAGGTGAAGTGAATAACACTGATTATCTATTCATCACGGCACCTGTTAGTGGGTGGGATATATTAGGCAGCAAGTGAACATTATGTCCTCAAAGTTGATGTGTTGAAAGCAGGAAAAATGGGCACGCGTAAGGATTTAAACGAGTTTGACAACAGCCAAATTATAATGGCTAGACGACTGGGTCAGAGCATCTCCAAAACTGCAGCTCTTGTGGGGTGTTCCCGGTCGGCAGTGGTCAGTATTTATCAAAAGAGCTCCAAGGAAGGAACAGTCGTGAACCAGCGACAGGGTCATGGGTGGCCGAGGCTCATTGATGCACGTGGGGAGAGAAGGCTGGCCCGTGTGGCCCGATCCAACAGAGAGCTACTGTAGCTCAAATTGCTCAAAGAAGTTAATGCTGGTTTTGATGGGAAGGTGTCAGAATACACAGTGCGTCACATTTTTTTGCGTATGGGGCTGCATAGCCACAGACCAGTCAGGGTGCCCATGCTGACCCCTGTCCACCACCGAAAGCACCAACAGTGGGCACGTAAGCATCAGAACTGGACCACGGAGCAATTGAAGAAGATGGCCTGGTCTGATGAATCACGTTTTCTTTTACATCACGTGGATGGCCGGGTGCGTGTGCATCACTTTCCTGGGGAACACATGGCACCAGGATGCACTATGGGAAGAAGGCAAGCCAGTGGAGGTAGTGTGATGCTTTGGGCAATGTTTGGGCAACTCTACCTCTCATTCCATCCTGATGATCCGACGATAGCTGCTCGCATCTCAGCTTGTCTAACAAACATTTATTGCTGGATGAAGGACCATCACCTTCAACTCAACCTTGCCACTATTGCAATGCTCTCTTGGCAGGTCTTCCAGCCAGTTCTATCAATCATTTACATTTAATCCAGAACGCGGCAGCATGATTAATCTTTAATGAAAATAATCTTTATCATTAAGAATTTTAATGAAATAAAAGAAGCCGAAAAGAATGCACGTCACACCTCTGTTTATCCATTTGCACTGGCTACCAATAGCTGCTCACATAAAATTCAAGGCATTAATGTTTGCCTACAAAACCACCACTGGCTCTGCACCCCTTTACCTAAATTCATTACTTCAGACTTATGTGCCCTCTAGAAGCTTGCGTTCTGCAAGTGAACGTCGCTTTATTGTGCCATCCCAAAGAAGCACAAAATCACTTTCACTGACTTTTAAATGAAATGTTCCCCCCTGGTGGAATGACCTGCCCAACTCAATCCGAGCAGCTGAGTCCTTAGCCATCTTCAAGAATCAGCATGGGGAAGTCGTGGCCTAATGGTTAGAGAGTCTTACTTGTAACCCAAAGGTTGCGGGTTCGAGTCTCGTACCGGCAGGGATTGTAGGTGGGGGGAGTGAATGTACAGCGCTCTCTCCCACCTTAAATACCACGACTGAGCTGCCCTTGAGCAAGGCACCGAACCCCTAACTGCTCCCCGGGCACCGCAGCATAAATGACTGCCCACTGCTCCGGGTGTGTGTTCACGGTGTGTGTGTGTTCACTGCTGTGTGTGTGCACTTTGGATGGGTAAATGCAGAGCACTAATTCCTAGTATGGGTCACCATACTTAGCCACACGTCACGTCACTATTCACTAAAAACACATATCTTCCATCTTTATTTGACCCTCTAGCACTCTCTATTCTAATTCTATTCTTTAAAAAAAACTTGCCCCTTTTAGACGTGCACTCTATTCATTTACTAACTGCCTGTTTTCTTTAAAAAAACACTAGCTTCTCTAATCTTTTTGTATTTGATTTCTAAGTTTTTCTTTGAACAGTTTTCTTTGTATTTATTATACAATTAACAAAAGCAAAAAAAGGCCTTGAACACTAGCTTGCTCTATTTTTTCTATTCTATATGTTTTGATTTTATTTATGATATAATTTAAAGAAAAACCTTGCTACGTGTACTGCGTTACGCTAATTGAGATTTGTTATAGCACTTGCATATTATTGCTTTCTTGTTGATTTTGATTGCTTCCATTGTCCTCATTTATAAGTCGCTTTGGATAAAAGCGTCTGCTAAATGTCTAAATGTAAATGTAACTGAGCTGCCCTTGAGCAAGGCACCGAACCCCTAACTGCTCCCCGGGCACCGCAGCATAAATGACTGCCCACTGCTCCGGGTGTGTGTTCACGGTGTGTGTGTGTTCACTGCTGTGTGTGTGCACTTTGGATGGGTAAATGCAGAGCACTAATTCCTAGTATGGGTCACCATACTTAGCCACACGTCACGTCACTATTCACTAAAAACACATATCTTCCATCTTTATTTGACCCTCTAGCACTCTCTATTCTAATTCTATTCTTTAAAAAAAACTTGCCCCTTTTAGACGTGCACTCTATTCATTTACTAACTGCCTGTTTTCTTTAAAAAAACACTAGCTTCTCTAATCTTTTTGTATTTGATTTCTAAGTTTTTCTTTGAACAGTTTTCTTTGTATTTATTATACAATTAACAAAAGCAAAAAAAGGCCTTGAACACTAGCTTGCTCTATTTTTTCTATTCTATATGTTTTGATTTTATTTATGATATAATTTAAAGAAAAACCTTGCTACGTGTACTGCGTTACGCTAATTGAGATTTGTTATAGCACTTGCATATTATTGCTTTCTTGTTGATTTTGATTGCTTCCATTGTCCTCATTTATAAGTCGCTTTGGATAAAAGCGTGTGCTAAATTACTAAATGTAATTTGCAGGGTTTGTTTTGTTTGTTTTATGCTGGTAAGAGTTGTGTGGGTGAACCTCACTGATCTCAAGAGGCGCACTAGCATCCTTGTTAACATGCTCACCTCCCAAGCCGGAAACTCTGGTTTGAAACCTGCCTGTTAAGTAGATTTGGAGGGATTAGGGGCTGTTTACATGTTGCATGGAAAAATGCGTTCTTCTTTCTAAGGCAACATTTACACTAGTGTGTTTTCGTTTTAAAACACATAACTTTTGCTAGTTACAGCTGTCATTTACATTAGTTTTAGACCCCGTTTTAGTTTGAAAACTCCGGGGTTGCGTTTCAGTGTAAATGGCCCAATACAGAGACTTTTGAAAACGATGGTGTGGCTGCCCACATTCGCTCTGCGTATCCTGCTTATCCATGCTCATTGTTGTACCTGCATGAATGGTCATGCGACATGCGTTTTCGTTTGTGTAGTGCGGACAGAGATAGTTTCTGAAGCGCAGTGAAAACGCCAGTGTAGACGAGGATTGTTTTCATTTTAAAACACCGTTTTAAAACGGGCCTAACACTTGCACTCCCGTGGTGTCTGCTGTTGCTAAGCAACCATGAGCTGCGCTCTCCATGACAACACAGAAGTTACAGCAAAGGATAAATTCGTTATGGAAAGGGTGAAACTGACTGGATGGTTTTTATCACATGATCTGGGGTGCGCTTCTGGCATTCTGAAAAGTTTAAATGTTTTCAACCTGCTGCGGCGCAGAAGCGCCTGGAGAAGAGGAGCAGTTATATTATATCTATTCAACACTTTGAATATGATAGAGTGTGTATGTCAGTGTATGTGCACACAATAGGGCTGCCAAACTTTGGGTTTCCAATTTGGGATGAATTGAAGGAATTCCAAATCAGCTGTCTAGAACTGATAAATGCAAATACGCCTAAGTGTAGTGGTTTTCTCAAATGTTTATTGTTAATGCTTTCTGGAATACCCCCTAAATGAGTGACGCATTAAAAGGTTCTCCTAAATCTTTATCTTACTAAAACATTCAACTAATTCATTATGTTAATGAAGAAAGACATACTTCATTAATTAAAAGCAGTTTATTATGTTTATTTTCATCAGATTTCCATCCATTCACTTTGGATCCAAACACGGTGAATTCATATCTCTACCTATCTGAGGGTAACACAGTGATCACTTCGTCCAGCTATTATTACAGTTATCCTGATCATCCAGACAGATTTGAAAATTGGATGGAGGCGTTGTATAGAGAGAGTGTGACTGAACGCCGTTACTGGGAGGTTGAGTGGAGTGGTGAGGTGTATATATCAGTGGCATATAACAGCATCATGAGGAAGGGAAGCAATAATGATAGTAGATTTGGATGTAATGATCAGTCCTGGAGATTATACTGCTGTAACTCCAGTTGCTCATTCTGGTACAATAACATGCATACTGATCTCCCTGTGGTGTCCAGCAGTAGAGTAGGAGTGTATGTGGATCACAGCGCAGGGATTTTGTCCTTTACCGTTTTAAAACGGGCCTAACACTTGCACTCCCGTGGTGTCTGCTGTTGCTAAGCAACCATGAGCTGCGCTCTCCATGACAACACAGAAGTTACAGCAAAGGATAAATTGATAGGCAGCACCGAAAATCACTTGCAGTAGCTCTGCTACTAGATTAATTTAAAGGGGTCATATGATGTGATTTCAATTTTTCCTTTCTCTTTGGAGTGTTACAAGCTCTTGGTGCATAAATATGTAAGTGTCTCAGACACAATGAGTCTCATCTACAGAGTCCAGACCACATTCACTCAGCCGCTCTATCCTGGGATTGGTTTAGGTAACAATGCAACAGCAAAACTGTGTCGTCTAACAATGTAAACAATATTGCCATATCACATGTATAAGCACCGTGTTACATCAGCTGATATAAAATCACTTCATTTCTAATTACTTAGTTGATATCTCAGATATTATAACAGTTTTGTCAAATTAATCATATAATATTTGAAATGTATGAGTAAGAAGTGATAAAAATTATTGATGTGTATGTGTTTTTGTTCTTTCTTTTTCTTTGATGAAACATTCGATTACATTTTTACCAGTGACTGTCAAAAGTAACTTTCATATCTGGTTTGTCATGTTGGGTTAATGAAAGGTATGTTTAAATAATGTTTTTTTACATTTTATGTGCTGGTTAGTGTAACAAAACACTGCAACACAGTTAGTGGATTTTTACCCAAATGTGCTTTGGATCTATTTCTGAATATATTATCTCCTATTACATGCAGTTCAAATGATTAATCAATGAATAAAGCAAAAGAAAACCAAGACAGAAGTGTTGTCTTTACTCGAGCTCAGATCTTCTGCTTCACCACCAGGAGGCACTATCAGCTATATATCACATACATCAAGCACAGCTGCTTTTCTTTTTCTATAGGTTTTTTTTGTTGTTGCCTGAACTATTCCTTTAAAGTTAAATAATTTGTGCTTCTACTGTATTCACCATTTGTTCAAAGAGACATGCATTTTAATGATTGTACAGAAATGCGATATGTAGTTTACTGTACTTTGTGGTCTTGTGAACAAAGATAGTTTTGTTCATAACCTTAGGAATAGCTGTAAAATGGTTATGTAAACATGAGCACTATAAGTCATTGGTCTTGATCCTGGAGGGCCACAATCATACAGAGTTTCCAACCCCAATTAAACATCTGAGCCAGCTAATCGAGGTCTTCAAGATTAGAAACACATCCAGGTAAGTATGTTTGAGGCAGGTTGGAGTTAAACTTTGCAGGATGTTGGCCCTGCATGAGCAGAATCGGACCCCGCTGCTACATCACAACGCACTGAATACTGTTCAGATCATTGCAAGGACAGATGCATCACTGAAATAAAGGCTTTGTATCTAAATTTAAAAGCTGTTGGAAACTTTCAGGGTTGGAGGGGAAAGGTCATGTAAGATTAAATCACTAAAGCTTGACAATACTGACTTTATTGTGTGTTTGCATGGTATACAGTTTAACAAATAGCAGTGCTGGCTTGTATTTACTGGATTTCACTTTCAATACAAGCATGGTTTACAGGAATGAGGGCAATTATTAGCTAGCATACATACACATGCACACTTTAAACACTTAAAGTGATTCAAAGTGATGTGTGGCCAAGTATGGTGTCCCATACTCAGAATTTGTGCTCTGCATTTCACCATAGACTGTATAAAAACATGGACGTAGTGTCTGTGACAGTAAATGCAATCCTTTATTCAACAGGTGGTGATTCATGAAGTCTTTCCATATAACCAGGAAACAAATAACATTTTGTTATGTTTTGTATTTACTTAAAATATTGTTTTTTCAACTTGACGAACTATGCATTTTTTTAACTTTAAAGTTTAGTCGGAATATTCATATGTTCATATGTTAGTTTAACCCAATTAGGCTTATTTTCGTCTAAAAAAAACTTTATGCGTGCTGACTTAAAATTCCATGATAACTTGACAATAAATGTCTTGAATTTACTAACTTAAGGTGATTCAAGTATTATTTTCCTAACAAATAATATGTTGTCACAAGTACATTTATGTCAAGTGGGGAATTTATTTTTATTTTTTGAAAATACTTAATATTATAAGTAAGTATAACTACAAATACAACAATAAGTAAATACAACCGAGTCAATGCCAAAAAAACAACAACAACTAAAATGTTAAAGTCGGTGAAAGAAAAAAAAAAGATTACAGATAAGTTTGGTAGGCCTATTGAAAACTTAAAGTTGAGTGGGCAATTTTTTTACACAGTAGCAGAACCAGTAGCAAAATTTTAACATTATTAGTTCATTTAAAATTAATTTTTTTAAACAACATTTAACAACTGTCCTCCCCCCACCAAAAAAAAGAGTTAATTTTGTAGTAGTCTAAGTACAGTATAAAGGTAAACTCCCTTAAAGGCTTTTTTTTCTGTTCCGTGCCTTTAACCATAAAATTAGTGGGTCAAATTGAGCCGCTAACGTCACAAACGTAATAGAAATTTGTTATGCACATTCCACAACACATCAGAGTGTCGAAACTTTGTATGCATGTCCAAGATCCTAAATGGGAAAAGTTACAAAATATCAAGTAAGTAAATAAATAAATGGTTTCCGACAACTCCAAAACTGAACATAATATGAGGGCTAAAAAACATAACAACCCTGCTTATCCTTAAAGCCTTTTAACAAGGATAACAAACCCCTATTACTCATAATGGAAGAAAAATTTATTTGACCAATGCTCTTGTGTTTAAGGCTAAAGTGCTCCTTGTCTTTTACGGTAAGTGGATCTCCTGCACAGGGCCAAATCAATATGCTCCTTGCTCAGCCAATCAATGGCCTTCTGGATTTAAGTTTAGCGTGCAAACCCCTTACGGAAAACAGCAATACTACTGACACACCTTTATCTGGCCTCCATGACCTTTACAAACATATCTAACATGATCTGCATGGTTATTTATTGACCAGATGTCCTTTATATTGGTCTTTGTATGAATTTTTCACATAGCTGATCAATTGGCAGCCAACATGACAACAACAGTCCTACACCTTTACTTATTTTTGGCATTCTGTCCTCTATCTGAGGGGATTTCTCTCAATTGTCCTTTTCCATTTCTGAATCAGAATACACACCTGGGATCAAGGAAACCTTGTGCAGCGTTGCAACTGCAGACCAAGTTGCCTTGTGTGAACCTGTCAGTAAGTGAAAATGTGCGACTGAATCCTGAAAAATGGCATCTGGAGAGTCTGTCACTGAAGGTGAGATTTTAAGATTTACTAATTAATGTTATTATTATTTTTTTCCCATATGGAAAATAGTGTTACAACCCTTCCTGTCAGGACATACGTGGTATATATATTTTTATATGTTGATGAAATGTGGATAATTGTTGATGTGTTATATATCAAATTAAAAATGATACATCAAATTAGGAGAAATTGCTGATTCAGAATATACCAGTTCTGTCACGCATGCACTTGATGGCAAATCAAATTTTAATAAAAGAAAAACATGAAATGTTATGGATTAATTTTTTAACCTTTTGTAGTATCTGCCAAAAACTAAATACTCTCAAAACCGAAACTGAACAGATATGCGCTGCATTTTATTTATTATCAGCTATTTCCGCAATATGAGATAAAGCAATGGTAATATAATTTAGTCACACTACTTTTAAAGGGGTCATGAACTGCCTTTTTAAAATTATTTTGTACTGTTCTCTGAGGTCCAATAATGTTATCAAGATTTTTACATCGAAAAACATAATAATTCAGAATAGGCTATTTTCTGTCCTGTTTTGACCCCGTCATCTGAACGCTCTGTTTGAATAGGTGTGGCGGATTGTAGACTCGGAAGTAAATGCCCACTGCTATGATTAGATAACAGTTGTATATGTTTGACAGCCTACAGCCTTCATAAATGGACACTGCTGTGATTTAGGTTAAAAACGCATAACTACTCAGTACATATCAAACGATCTGTAATAACAGACAGAGCAATAGTGACAACGTAATAAAAACAGTTACTCACACTTGTGTGGTTATTTAATTATCCAATATATTTTTGCACAGCATCGTCTTTTAGTTTCAATCTTTCTGAAAATCCTGCATCGAATTGTGCTTTGTTTGTAAACGAATCCGCGGTAAAATGAAGTGAACAAAGGACCAAGTTCTTACTGATATTGAACTTCATTAAAAATAAAGTTCATCCACTCTTTCCTAATGTTGGGATCAGAAGGAAGGCGATGCAAAGACTGTGTTTTCCCACAATTTGGCACTGAACAGCGTCTTGTAGTCTTCGAAGCATCTTTATCGTTTGAGTTCTGTGTAGACCTGCATTCGTCTCTCTCTTTATTTACACTACGTGCGCGAATCAGTGGGCGGAGCTAAACAGGCAGTGCAGTAGAAGCAGGCATTGATCTTCTTCTGCGGAGGCGGGGTTTAGCCACACTATTACATCATAAAGTGGCACATTCCACAACCTGTGGTTTGGCAGATTGGCTTCAATATAAGCTGATTTTAGACGAATGTTTTGAGTTCAGAAACTTGCAGGATGTTTTTATAGTATAGTACAATGATCTCTTATATTTCAAAAGATCAATGGAATTTTGTTTTTTTCAGTTCATGACCCCTTTAATGAGAATGATTGTATGTTGAGCTTCAGGATGTAATGCAGAACTTTCGGTTCCATTTGCGGCATCTGTGGCGGGGGGGAATGGGACCGGGAAAGCATATATTTAAAAAGAAAATGCTGTTTTGTATATATTTTAGGGTGCAATGTAAAACATTTTGTTTGTGTTACTTTTAGGGTATAACAGTCACACATACACTATTACTGATAAAGACCATTAAAAGAGCCATATTGTATATTTTTATGATTGTATTCTTGTATATGCATAATGCATTTTCGCTAAATCAGCAGTAAAATACTGGCAACAAAAATAAGATATAAATTGCACAGGCATGTCCAAAGTATGGCAACACGACACAGCCTCTCATTGCCTTCTCAGGAAACCAGGTTACATACATAACCCTCAGACGTTCCCTTTCGAGGCAATTTGACGCTGTGTCATAGTGTTGATGCTATGGGAATGTTAATCCCCACTGCATCAAATGGTTGCCCACCCATGCTGTGAAAGTCAAACAATTAAATCAAAGAATTAGCAAGTCAAGAAAGACCTAGGTCGAGACCAGAGAGACCCACTTCAGGGTTAGGGACCATCATAATCTTGACTGGATGGTGGCAGTATCACGCTCCACCAGCAAACAAGTAGCCAAATGCTTTAGAACCTAGAGGTGCAGAACATCCCGCAGCTCATATGTCCCTTAACAGCCTTCTTTCTTACGTTCATTCTTGTCCATTG